GTAGTAGGTTTCGGACTACCCAACCCCAACTTTTTGTACAATGAAGTTGGCATCAAATTGATACTAGCTCCTAGATCACACAATCCTCGCGCATGAATACTCTGCCCTATAGTGATCTGAACCGTAAAGCTACCTGGATCTTTTTTTTTAGTGGGCAACTTATTTTGGATTCTGGAGCTGCACTCTTTAGTAAGTGCAACAGTCTCATATTCAGCCAGCCTCCTTTTGTTCGCCATAATCTCCTTCACATATTTGACATACCTGGGTATACCCTACAAAACATCTACCAATGGCAAGTTAATGTGAACTTGTTTCAAAAGAGAGAGAAACTTACCAAAACATTCATCCTTCTTCTTTTTCTTGAACTTTTGAGGAAATGGGGGAGGTGGTTTCGTTATTGATTGAACTCATTCTTCTTGTGCAACAACCTCACTCTCCTTGGGCTCACTATCTTTATTCACAGATTCTGTATTTCTTTTCTTTGGAGCCAACTCCTCCAATTGTAAACCACTACGAGTACCTACTGCGTTTACCTGTTTGGGATTTGGAGCAGTGTTTCCCAGTAAACCTCCTTGCGGTAATGAGTTATGGGCACTAGCAAACTGCCCGAATTGCTTCTCCAGATTCTGTGTAGCCAACTGATTATTTCTCACATCAGCAGCTAACTAGGCTTGATCAGCCATGATCTTTTTCAGCATCTCCTCCATGCTCAAGTTACCAGACTGCTTATTTGGCTGCTCCCTTTGAGCCTGTGGTTGGTACCCTTATGTATTTCCTTGGGGTCTATATTGATTTTGGCCTTGAGCCTGATTTTGATTTCCACCCCCAAGAAAAGTTTGGATAGTTGCGCCAACTCGGGTTGTAAGAGCTTCCATAATTCTGTTGGCCTCCTCATCGTCGTGCATTACCTACAAAATTAACAGAATTCAGTTTCGCACCACATACCTCTATACTATGGTCACCACCTCCGCAAATCTCACGCCAAGTTAGTGGTTGTTGAACTGCATTCACTTGCGCGGGTTGTTGTCCCAATGCTAGATTGCTGAAATGGGTGTTCATCATATTCTGCATCGCAGCAATCTGTGCAGTTAAAGCAGTCACTGCATCTACTTCTAGCATACCTGCAATTTTTTGTATCACAGGTTTCACCCCTCCACCGTTCCATTTGGGGTTACCCTGTGAGATCCTGTTCAGCAGGGTGAATAGCTCAGCATATGTCTTCTCCAACGCTTGACCACCTGCAGCTGAATCAAGTAGAATTTTGGTGTTAGGCTCCAATCCTTCAATGAAGGTATGGACCAACACCTCATTAGATTGATGATGATGTGGGCTGATCATCAACATTGATTTAAACCTGTCCCAAGCTTGGTACAAGTTCTCTCCCTCTTTCTGTCTAAAACTCAGAATGTCGCTCCTCAACTTACCTATTTTCCCAGATGGAAAAAATCTGATGAGGAACTTCTGTGCAAGGTCATTCCACGTGGTAATTGAGTTCGCGGGCTCTGAGTTTAACCATATTTTTGCTTCCCTAAGCAGAGAAAAGGGGAATAAAGTGAGCCTCACGTAATCCTCGTTTACTCCAGTTGGAGTGTAAGTATCACTGATCTCAAGGAAGTTTTGGATAAGGACTGTTGGATCCTCGTGCGATAGACAAGTGAACTGCCCATTAGTGTGCAATAGTTGCACCATACTCCGCTTCAATTCAAACTTTCCACCAGCTGCAGGTTTCTGAATACATGATTTCACATTGGTGGTACGTGGGATTGCCACATCTTTTACCTTCATCTCAGCCATTATTTCAGGTTCCTCTTGCTCAACTCTTGTTACTGGAGATGTTGGTTCACTAGCAACAAGAGGGACTGGGTAAGTAAGTAGTCTTAACTTTATCTGATACTGTACAAATCTTTCCGGTTCAGCTAGAGGCGATACCAATTCTTGATCGTCATCCAGTTTGAAATTCCAATACAACCTGCAACAATGAAATTCTAAGATCAAGTTGTCAACACTTGCTTTTTCACTTCAAAAATCAGAAAAATCAGATAATTCCTAATTCTAAAGTCCCTGGCAGCGGCGCCAAAAACTTGTTGCGCCTAAATCGCACACGCAAGTGCACGTGGTCGTTCAAGTATTAAAGTGGCTCTTCAAAATAGTCGGGTATCGTACCCACAGGGACTTACGTTTAGAATCACTTAATTTCTCCAACTTTCAACTAAGCACAAGTGTTATCAATATTTCAAAAGTGATTTATTTTATAATTCTAAAAGTTAAACAAAAATGTAACAAACACAATTCAATTTCAAGGGTTTAACAAATAATGATTAGGTAAGGTCCAGGCTGCAGCTTTTATCAAGATTACCATGCAATTAATATCATTTAAATGGGCATTTATCAACTATCGAATCAATGAATCACAGGGTTAAATGTATGATCATGGTCTCCCGACCTCTAATCGCCTACGATAAATGACAACCTAACTACATCGTTGAGCGGGGATAGGCTGGATCAAGCACCGAGCATTATGATTTCTTCTTGTATAGTGACCAAGCATAGTTTCTAGGTATATCCCTATCCTTGATACAAATTAACCCTAATTATTAAGAGTTAATCATGCTCCTTATGCCCCACGTTCTATCATTTTATTCATCTCCCAAGTTCAATTCGGACAATGTATTTATTTCAATGGTGATCAATCACAAAATACGAAAAATATGAACATAAGAAAGATTCATATGATAATTGATATTCACCCAATGAAAAATCAATAGATTACAATAATCATGTAACCACAACCCTAGAACTAGGGTATTTAGATACTCATAATCAAAGATTTGATCAAACAATGTTTAAGTATCATAGAAAGATCGAAAGTAAAAGAATTTAGGAAAGAACCCTAAAAATGATGAAAATGTTCTCCCAAGTCGTCGTTCTTCAAAACCCAGAAAAATAAATGATTAATAAAATAAAGTATTAGCCTATTTATACTAAAAGTTGAAACGGCCAATACTGGGACATCAGGGCGCGACGCGGAGTGTGTTCAAACTTCCATTCGAACGCAATTGCTCTTCTCTGCGACGCAGGAACTCCACAGAGTGTTCTGCCTAAATTTGACTCTCGTGAATTAATTTGACACTCTCTCTCCGCAACGCGGAGAGGATATGGCCTTGCCTTGAAATCTTTTTCTTCCTTGCTTCTTTTCGACTTGAATCTTTTGTGTTCCCCATTGTCCATTTTCATGCTTGTTTCTCCCATTAAAGAAAATGCAATAACGAATTCAACTTTACTCATATAATAAAGTAATGTAGTTTCTGTGGGAGATTCTCTAACCGACAACCACCACTATGAGCCTAAGTAGTGATACAACGTCTTGTCCACGCTGCCAGAACTATCACATACTTTGCTCATATGATGTAAAATCAAAACTTCTTTCTTTTGTTTGAGATAATTACTCAAAGCTTTAGCTTAAAAGCTCTCTTGGAAATCGATGATTCCCTTTCTTATTCAAATGTGAAATCATTTAAAACTCTTGGGAATACTTAGTTTCCTTATAGCTTTTTGAGAAATGAACTCAACTCTTTACTCTTTGCTTAACTTGAAACTTGAGCCTTAAAAAAAGATTAAAACGTTTGTGAAAGACTTTAGAAAAACCTTATAAACTTCTCTTGACTTGCTTCTTAACTTCTAGACTTGACTCTTAACTTCTCTTGACTTTTATCCCAACTTTCCTTGAATTGAATTATGGATTTAAGGTTCATGATCTCATTTTTATGGATTATTTCATGATTTTTAGATGTACCTAAGAGTGTTGGAATCAACTAAGAAACATATGCACATTGCTAAGGAACAAGTACGAAAATATGGGGGACGAATGGGGAGAACTGGCGTCGCTGGCACTCTGAGAGGCGCGGGGTGCCAGCCCTCAACATTCAGGGACTGGTCTGGGGGGCGCTGGCTGGCGCGGCGCCCCAAGGGTGAAGATTCAGAGACCCTTTTGGGGAGAGTTGGCTGGCGTGACGCCCCACCCTTTTCCCCAGGTGTTTGACAATTTTTCTTCTCCATTTTTCATCTCTAAACCCTCCAAACTTCAATGGTTCCTTCCCCAAACACTTAGAATCATTTATACCCTCAATATATGATAGATTCAAACCAAAATTACACCCGGAAACATGAATCAAATCGCATGCAAGAAACTCCAACAACACAACCCACAAGAAATTCAAATGAAACTTTCAACAATGTTCATCAAGAACCCAATTTCTAAACTTGCAAAGACTTAATTTGGCTGAATTGAATCATGGTTGGCGCGTGGGTGAACTAAGACAATGCTATGTGATCTCACATACCTCGTAGGGATCACCCCTTGACAAAATCCACACGCAAAATTCCAAGAAATCGACGAATCTTGAACGTTCTTTTCCTTTCTCCTTTTTCCTCCTCTTCTCCAAGCCCTAGCATGAAATTCACTTTTCTAAACTGACTAAAATCTGACTTTACCCCAATTAAACTCCTAAAAATGAATTAGAATAATTAGATAAGGAAAAGACTAAACTACCCTTCCAAAATTTAGATTAGACTTTCCTTATTCAAACAGCCCAACTTCCAAAGGGCATAACTCACTCATACGAACTTGGAAAGGTTATCCCAAGAGCTTTCCAACCATATCTGGAAATACACCTAACTCATCCTGAGCTAGGAGTTATAGTCGTTTGAAGTTGGCCAAAACTCAACTTATTCTAACTTAACAAAATTTCCATCTCGCAATTTGCTGCCAGAACTATCATATACTTTTCTCATATGATGTAAAATCAAAACTTCTTTCTTTTGTTTGAGATAATTACTCAAAGCTTTAGCTTAAAAGCTCTCTTGGAAATCGATGATTCCCTTTCTTATTCAAATGTGAAATTTGAAATAACTAATGTGTTCCAAATATTGACGGTTTTAGGGAGAAAATTCTAGAAGAAGCCCATAGTTCTCGGTATTCTATTCACGCGGGAGCCACCAAGATGTTCTGTGACCTACGGGAACTCTATTGGTGGAATGGGGTGAAAAAGGACATCGCGGAATTTGTGGCCAAATGCCCTAATTGTCAACAAGTTAAGGTTGAGCACCAGAGGTCGGGAGGCTTGTCACAAGATATTGCTATTCTTACTTGGAAGTGGGAAGATGTGAACATGGATTTTATCGTAGGCTTACCACGTACTCGGCAACAACGTGACTCGATATGGGTAATAGTAGACCAGATGAGTAAGTCTGCTCATTTCATTCCCATCAAGGTGTCCTACTCGGTGGAAGAGTATGCTAAGTTGTATGTTAAAGAGATAGTGAGGTTACATGGAGTACCCTTGTCTATAATTTCGGATCGCGGTCCCCAATTTACTTCACAGTTTTGGAAGTCTTTCCAAAATGGTCTAGGAACCAACATGAAGCTTAGCACTACTTTTCACCCTCAAATGGATGGTCAAGCGGAACGCACCATTTAGACATTAGAGGACATGATGAGGGCATGAGTGATAGATTTTAAGGGCAATTGGGTTGACCATATGCCGTTAGTTGAGTTTGCTTATAATAACAGTTATTATTCAAGTATCGACATGGCTCCCTTTGAGGCTCTCTATGGTAAAAAATGTACGTCTCTTATAGGATGGTTTGAAGTGGGAGAAGTTGCCCTCCTAGGTCCGGAATCGGTGCATGAGGCCATTGTGAAGATTCGGGTCATTAGAGAGAGGTTAAGGATGGCCCAAAGTCAGTAAAAGTCTTATGCCGATGTTAGAAGGAGAGATCTCGAATTTGATGTCCATGATTAGGTTTATTTGAAAATCTCACCCATGAAGGGTGTTATAAGGTTTGGGAAGAATGGGATACTTACTCCTCAGTTTATGGGTTCTTATGAGATTTTGAGGCATGTTGGCGAGGTTGCATATGAGTTAGATTTGCCAAATGAGCTAGTGTTGGTGCATTCGGTGTTCCATGTCTCAATGTTGAAGAAATGTATAGGGGATCCATCAACCATAGTTCCCTTAGAGGGTTTAGAGATTAAGGAGAATCATGCTTATGAAGAGGTACCGATTGAAATCTTAGATGGGCAAGTCAAGAGGTTGAGAAACAAGGAAGTTGCCTCTATGAAGGTATTGTGGAGGAATCACTTAGTTGAGGGTGCCACTTAGGAGGCCGAGGCCGATATAAAGTCTTGATATCCTCATATTTTTCCTACCTCTCCTAGCCAAGCTTGAGGTAACGAGTTCCTCTTGAGTTTTCTTGTTAGGAGTCATGTGTGATTTAGTGTTTCCATGATTTCCTTGTGATTATGCATGTTCTTGAGAAATTCATGTTTAGTAAGAAAATGAGTTCTCATGATTGATGTTCCTCATGTTGTTGTGCATTTAGGATGAGTTGTCTATTTGATTTCATAAGATGAATTGATGAACATGCTTTATATGTATATGCTTTTCTTGAGAAAATGGCCTAATGGTTTCATGAGATTTTTTTTAGCATGCTTTAAAGCTTGGAGAAGGTATTTCCTCCTATGGATATGAGAAATGTTGAGTTTTCATGCATAATGGGTTGTTAGATGTAGTTCCCACTTCCTTGTGATGCACTAATTATGTTTGAGATGGAGTTGATGTTTCCTCCTTTGAATTGTGCATTATTTTGATATTTCATGCATGATGGGCTGCTAGTCTTGAGTCTTCACTTCCGTAAGGTGTCTAGATCGTCATTCGAGGATGAATAAGACCAAGGGGGAGATTGTAACACCCGGAAAACCAGTAGGCTAAACTAGAGCTAAACGTGAGGGTTAGAGTTAAGAAGGTGGGCAAGGGCCAATGGAGAGGACTAAGGGAGTCCACTCTCCCCTAGACACTGCCCTAGCGACCACGACCACCACCACGACTCGTGGTAGGGACCACGATTCGTGGTAGGGACCACGATTCGTGGTAGGGACCACGACTCGTGGTAGGGATCACGACATGTGGTATGGCCTGTGGTGGACTAGGCAGTGAGCTTCCCAAAATCTGCCCAAAACAAGCTCCTCTTCACGAGCCACTTCACGGATCTTGGTGAAGACCATGGCTCATGGGAAGTCTTGTGAAGGAGAGTTGGGTCTTTGAAGGTGGAAAGAAAATTGAGAGTCACTGCCTCAAGGCCCCCGAGAGGGACCACGGCTCGTGGAGCCCCTCGTGAAGTTGCCTTGGGCTTGTGGGCTAAAGGCACATGTTTCCTAGCCACTTCCCCAAGACCACGAAGGGGACCACAACTCGTGGTCATGACCACGGCTCATTGAGCCCCTCGTGGCACCTGGACAGGTCACTTAAAGTGAGGGGTGTTTTGAGAAATTCCGATTTAAGTCCAATCAAAGTGAAGTCATTTTGGGTAAGTTTAGGGTCACTAAATAAGTCATTTTTAATTCAAGTTCGCCTAAAATAAGTCATAATTTCAAAACACCTAAATAACTCCCAAAGTTCATCTCCTCTCCAAATATTCTCTCTCTAGAACTTCAAAGCAGAAGTTGAAGGCTAGGGTTCAGGAAGCAAGGAGCTTTACATCAAATTCTTAGGGCTTTGTGATTGAGGTATGGTGGTTTTCATCCATGGGTAGCTTTCACCCATGGAGCCCTCTCCAAATCTTCAATTTCAAATGGTTGATTTTCCCAATATGCTAGGATTTTCTTCATTCACCATGGGTTCTTTGATCTAATGAATTTTATGATTTAATTATGTATATACATGCATGAATTGATGATATGCAATGCTTTTATGATACTTCCCATATGAACCCATGCAAATCCCCATATTTCTCTAAATTATGATCTCATAGGTTGGGTTGTTGATTGAGAAAGAGGTGTTTTTATGATCTAATGTATGATTTGATAGAATTACATGAAATTATGATGAAATCCCTATCTAATGCTTAAATTCTAGTTTTGGTGATTGATGATGGCTTTGAACCTTGGAAGGGCAAACTGTGAGTTTATGCATGATCTTGTGAAACTTATGTAAATGCTATGAAGGTTCTTTGAGAGTAAAGTTTCAATGTTGATTGTGTTGTTGTGTTGTTGAAAGGTCATTCTCATGAAATACTTACAACCATGATGTGAAAGGTTTTCTCACATAGAAAGGATTCTTAGGTTGAAAGACTATTCTCACCTAATTGAATAGATGAATAAGAGGTATCCTTAGGAACTAACTTGGATTGATTGTCAAGGACCTTCTTCCATGAGACATGAGTTAAGTAAGACTTAATAAAGTATTCTATGGGAATTATGCTTAGCACTGAGTGGATATTGACAATGAGATGGAAGCTCTCCCGTTAGTAGAGGTCGGGTTTCTAGAAGCGATCTCCGTATAACATATGTAACCCCATAGGTCATTTAGATAGTGGATCCACCTAAGCTAAGAGTTCATGGTTCTACCTTAGGCAAGTAGAACACCCCTTTTTGGTGTGGGAGACACCGGGTGATCATGTTTTAGCTCACATGGTCTCTATGTCGGTTAAGGGTATTCTCCCACAATAAGTACATGAATAAGGAACTATGGTTACTGAAGAGACTTTGATTATGAGTTCAAAGGTTTTAAAGATGATATTGACTTATGTTGTCCATGATTATGACTTATGACTTCTATTGTCTTATAAGATGTTCAAACTTGGAAAATGGCTTGCTTTCAAATGAAATGTCCCTTTTCACATGTTTTAAATGTATTTATGCATGGCTACCATACTTAGTACATTTTTGTGCTAACCCCTACTTTTCCTACATTTTCCCAAGTGTAGGGTCTGGTTCTTGAGGTGATCATTATAGTGACTAGTGCTTGGACCTTGCTACCTTCCGAGCTTTGTTGGTGAGTCCTCATGGTTCGAGGATGGATTTTTTCTCATGATGTAGTTTCCTTTATTGTATTTCACTTTCGGACATGTTGTATGAGCTAGGCCCTATTTCATTCAAAGTATTGTAATAGATGGCTATATTGAGACAAGTCTAGACTTCCGCTTTCGTTTATGAAAATTTAAGACTTGAAATGTGTTTTTACTCTTTATTGTTATATGCTTATGTTATGATATGCTAAGTGTCTTACATGGAACCTTTCAGGGTTCTATGTGCCTTGTTACTTCCTAGGGGGTACCCTGGGTCGTGACATGAATTGATTTCGAGTTCTTGAGTCTTTTGAAATTTTATTCCTAATTATTGAATTTCTATATGTTATGCATTAAGATTCTTGAGTTGATTCGTTCTTGTCTATATTTCAACATGAACCATATGAATTGAGTATTCTTGAGATGAGTAGTATCGTTGAGTCTCGAGTTCTGAGTTCTTGAGTCTTTGAGTTCTTGAGTCTTGAGTTCTGAGTGTTGAGTTTCCTTATTGCTATTAAGATCCCTGAGTTGAGTCGTTCATGTCCATAATTCCACATGAACCTATGATTTGAGTATAAATTTTGAAAAGCTTTTTAAAGTCAACACTTGAGTTCTTAAACTGAGTTTTGAGAAAGTAAAGACAAGTTTTGAGAAAAGAGGTTCTAAAACATGATTAGTATGGCAATCGAGTATGCCATCAATGTATGAGCATAATGGTATCTAGATATACCATCAATGTTTATGCAGTATGGCTTTCGGAGTATCAATGATCATATTAAAATATGATTTTGATATGTTTTTGAGAAAGAGTTTTAAAGTATGAATTGAGTAAGAGTATAAAGGGGCAATGTATTCCCAGAGGTATCAAATTTTACATTGATAAAAGAGAAACTGAAATTTCTAAATGAGTTATGAGTTCAAAAGATATTTCAAGAGCAGTTACCTCTATTGAGAGTGTAGTTTGAGCAATTATCTCAAACCAGAGGAAGATTTATGTTTTTAAATATATGAGCATAAGTATATATTATTATTGGAAGTAGTATTAAGCACCGATGTGGGGACGAGTTCAAACAACTACTCAAAGTCCTCATAAACCATGTATGCCAACATGGGTAAAAGGTCATATTTTTTAGATGATTCTTTATTGCTTTTTAAGCATAGCTTAGTAGATCCACTTAGTTGAGGATGTTTTATACCCCAGCAAGGTATATGACAGTTCTGGCAGCGTGGGCGAGATGTTGTATCATCACGTAGCTCATAGTGATGGTTGTCGGTTAGAAAATCTCCCTATAGAGTTAAAGTGTATTTTTATATATCACTTATTATGTTTAGTTCAGAGATGAGAAAGTTTTTTGTAAAGTTTTAAATGATTTAACTCCTTTATTTCTGTACATTCAGTTTGAGTACATTGTTATCTATTACAGTCCTTTCTTTCAGTTATTTGTTATTCAGTGATATTACATACTCGTACATTCAATGTACTAATATCATTTGACCTGCATCTTTTAATGATGCAGATACAAGTTCATAGGATCCTCAACAAGAGTATGTTGAGATCACTTCATCTGCTCATCCGCTTTCGAGTGAGGTCCCCTTACTTCCGGAGGACTTTAGTCTTATGAGTTGTTAGTATTAGTAGCATTTTGAGTAGTCATGGGTCTTGTCCCGATAATCATTTTTGTATAGTAGAGGCTCATAGATAGACAGTTTTGGAGAGTCTTATGATTTTAAATATTTTAATTAAAACTTATGTTTCTTACTCAGTATATTTAACGAAGTTTTGAGATTCAGTAAACTGATTTTAAACATTTCTTTCAAGTTGATGCTTATATATGCTTGAGTTAGTCTTCCTCTTGTAGTCATCCAAGATGAGGGTTCACTTGGAGACCAACAATAGTTCTCGAGTGCTAGCCACGTCCAGGGTGTAGGGTCGGATCGTGACATTCCAACCGCATTTACCAACTTAAGTCCACCTCCTATGACATGTTTAGACAACAAATCTAGTTGGGTCATCATTCTGGCCATGTTTTCATCTCGTTCATGGTCCTTCTCAATTTTTTCTTTGCTCATACCCAGTTGTAGAGCAGACACTTGGTCTTCTCTAGTATGACATGCTTGGTTAACTTTTGGCGTATCATCAAGAAACAAACCAACCAAATCATACATCTATCTCATTAATAAACCTTGGACTTACTGATGAGTCACACCTTTATTGAGTGAATCAAGGCTGCAATAAAAGTATTGCAACAACAAATCATCTGGAATGCCATGCATTGAACATTGCAAGAGTAGTTTCTTGAACCTCAGTCATGTCTGATGTAGAGGTTCACCTCCAATAGGCTTGAAATTTTGGATCTGGGTTCAAAGTTTAATGATCTTCTAGGGTGGAAAGAATCTCTCCAAGAAGACATTATTTAAGTCTTTGCACAAAGTAATAGAATCATTTGACAATTCTGTCAACCATCTTGTAGCTTCACTTGTTAAAGAGAACTGGAATAACCTCAACCTTATGAACTCTTGATAGATATTCTTGAACACAAAAGGTCCACATACCT